TTTAATTGAAGTATTAATCTGTTAAAGAATATCACACACACTCATGCAGTATGAACATAACAATCTATGAGAAATTTATTCCATTAAGGCATAATATAAGTTTGATGTATGTACTTTTGCATTTGCATGTTCAGAAATTGCTGTCTCACTGGCTTTGGAGGGTGAGGCCTCATACTTCAGTGTACAAAATTTCTTTTTTTTTCCTCCAGTTATATACCAAGAACAGCCATCACTAGTTATTGCTTGCAATGTCTTTATTCCTCCTCCTCTTGGCTGGTGGTGCAGCATCACCAACACAACTAGATGCCTATTTTGGGGCTAAAATCAAAAACAGGCAGTAAGCACAAATTTATTGGAAAGGTAGCTACGATGTTTAGTTAGGCATCCAGTTTGTTTCGAAGTTCTGATCTCAGTAATAAAATATTTTACTTTATATCTATTTCTCATGTGGTGTCAAAGGTACAGAATCTGTTCCAATTCAATATCTATGGATGTTCTGATTGGTTAACCAATCACAATGGCTGTTTCAAAGGAATAAGAACATTAGTATACTTTTTTGTGTATGTATTTCTCATAAATAAAAACAACTTAGAACGGTAAGGGAAAAAAATCATATACACGCATTTTGTTTCCATTGCTGTCTCTTTAAACTATTGATGCTAGAGTCTCTGCTTTAATGGAATTCCCAAAAGGTTGATCCCTGGCAGTGAAATAATGAAATCATAAAAAATTGTTTATCTTTCTGTAAACAAATAAGTGATATCAAAAGGAAGTGACTCTGAATAATGTACATCTGGTAAATATTAATGTCCTCAATATTAATTTCAGGTTTTTTTATTTTAATTGATCCCAGGACAGCCTCATAATTTTTTTTTTTTCTCAAAGAAAATTGTTGTCTGCAGTCATACACATTTGGATATGAATTTTCTAAAGTGTCATTTTTGTGTGTTCTTTCAAATATTGGCATTTGGTTAATATCAATCATTGCCTTGTGTAAATTCAATCTACGTCTCTTTAATATGAAGAGAGATTAACTTTTTCTTTTGGTATTTTTGTAAATCTGTATAATATTGCAAATTGCTGTATTTAAACTTTGGCCAGTATTTATTGTTGAAGCCATAGAAAAACAAATATAAAAAAACTTTGTAAAAGAAAATGTACGTATAAAGAGAGGTTTTGATCATTCAATACAACTGCAAGGGATTGTCAATGGTCAGAAATTTATACATTCATTAGTAGTGGATAGAATAGAGCAATTACATTTCTGAAATGTGTGTGTGTGTGTATATATATATATATATATATATATATAGTAGCGAAGGCAACAATATATATATATATATATGTATATATATATATATATAGTAGCGAAGGCAGTCATAATTGTCTCTTAAACTGTTCTACTGTAAAAAGTAATGGTCAAACCTCACATAAAGGCAATGGTCAAATTGCATTTAATAAAATTTCATTACATGCTTAAAGGGTCATCTGTTTTTCTTTTATTTTTTTTACATATATATATATATATATAGCATATTTTGTAAGAACTGTTAATGTATGAATTTAAAAATTGTCATCATATTAGCAGGAAATAATGTTGGATAAAGAATCCATTGATTTCTTAGAAATTCTTAGAAATTCTTAGAAATTACTTTGTTTACATTTTGGATATGAAAATATGAGGAGATATTTTTGAGAAGATCTGAATGAGAGTATGTGCATTTTTCAAAAAGAATCTTGCTCGGCTGTGACATGCTCTCTGGATCAGATGGTGATTTGTCCTACAAAAATAGAATGCACATTCAAAGTCTACTGCAGAGAGAACATCTTTATGAAGTCTTTCAATTACACAGACCAGTTGACAAAAAATTCACACTAGGCATTGGATTCAAACGTGTGTTACCACAAAGTAACATTTACATTAGTAGTGCATGTTATTTATTTATATATATATATATATATATATATATATATATATATATATATATATATATATATATATATATTTATATAAAATTTCAGATATAACTAAAGCTATATTTGTAAAAGGACATTATGAATAAAAACAAGAGGGAAACTAATCTTAGTTATATATAGAAATAAATTCAACCACAAATTTGATCTAAAGTATGTTGGACTTATTAAAAGAGAAAATAACTTACTAAAATGGGAAATACTTGAGAGTGTCATTATTGAATCATACTAAAATATAAATCTGTTTCATTGATTTTTTAAAAAAATATCTCCATTCCTGAAAGAAACACTCATTTCTAAAACTAACATACAAGATTATAAAAATATTAAAAAAATGAAAATAAAACTGTTAAATTAATAACCTTATATTATAAATCCCAAACTAAAATAATATAAATAATAATTGCATTATAAAAAAAAAAAAAAAAATCGGCAACAACAACATTAACTCAGTTTTGTTTATTATTAACCATCCTCCATAATTTACTTAGACTTTTCAGAGAGAAGCTAAATTATGGTGATAGGAAAGTACAGAAGACAAGATCCCAAGTCAGGATCAATAACATTGCAGATTCTTCTTTGGATTTTATCAAGAATCTCTAAATATATAGCAGAAGCAACATAGCAGATGTAACAGCAATATCCAAAGCATAGATGAAGGATAGACTTATAGATATGTAAGATAGATTCTGGTAACAAAAATTTATGCATTTCAATGTTTCAGTCAGACAAAAGGCACAAGGCAGTGGTCAAGGGAGGGTGGAAGGTATTTGTCTTAAAGGGAAGAAGTTTTATAAAACTAAACCCGGATATTAACCTTATGACATTAAATTAGGGTTATATAGAGAAAGAAATGTTAATTTAAAACTAAGAGAGGAATAAAAAAGGGGTTTAAAAAAAATTTAAAATATATAAAGTTATCTTTAAAACTACAAAGTTATACTTAAATGTAAAAAGTCATATTCCAAAAACAAGTCATATTTAAATGATTTATATTTAAAAATAAAGTTATATTTAATATAAAATAAGTAGGTTATATTTAAAAATAAAATAATATAAAATAAATTATAAATTTAAAAATAAAAATATAAAGAAATAAATAAAAATAAAAAACTTATATTTAAAAATAAGTTATATCTAAAAACAAGTTATATTTAAAAAATATAGTAATATTAAAAAATAGCCATAAAATATATTGATAAAGAGATGAAAGTGATAAAAGGAAAGAGAGTTCTTAGAACAGGGAACAATTTAAAAATTATAATTAATATAGGGCAAAGATGGGAATATAGAAATTAGAATTAGTTATACTTTCAACATTTGAAGAGTTAGAGGAGAGTGAATATTATGCAAATTTGAATTTGTTTTTATGTCGACATTTTAAAACTAATTCATTCCTCTGATTTGGCTTTGATTATAGTATTTTATGATTCTAATTTTTTTTTCTAAACATAAATCACACCTATCTCTAAGACTATTAGGAGTATGTGCAAAACCTGTAATTTTCCAAACTATCTGTGGGTTTAAACCTTTCTCCTTCAATTCCCAAAATGTTTTTGAAAAAAATACCTGATGTTTTAGTTTAAGGTTAGAAAATGATTGCCTAGGGTATAAAATCTGTTTCTATTCCCCAAGGAAATTCCAATGTAAACATTATAATTTTTAATATTTTCTTTGGGGGAAATGATTGCTTGATATATAACCCTGGTAGATCTGCATTTGCCCTCTACTGGACAATTTTCTTTAGATCTGCAATTACAGGAGGGTTCAATACCAGGTTTGTTGTTTGTCCCATAGAAATTTCTTAAAATATGGTTATTATGGGAGTTGATAATTTTATACATGTTATTGATACAGGAGTAGTTAATTTCTTTTTCCTATTGAAGATCTTACTTAGAGGATTGTTTTTTTAGCTTTTTGAAGGTGTTTATATATTAACTTTAGAAAATACTGTTTCATATTAATATCTGATAGTTTGCAGAATGCGGGTAGGGGTTGAACTATATAATTTTTCTTTTTCTGTGTCTACATTTCACTTTAGATATTTCTGTGTTACTTACGAGGGTTAGATAAGCTAATTTATTTTTAAAACCACTTTTATGGAGAGTGTTTTCATACAATTCTTTATTTTATTAAAGATGTTTGTGTTGGATAATAATTGACTAATCCTAGTGCTGACAGTTGTCGGTGTCTGTTTCATTTGGGTGGTTAGAATTCACATTAATATAGGTGGGGGGTTTCATTGTCTTTATGGTATAGTTTAAATGTTTTATTATTGAGGTTAAGGGTGATGTTTAGATAATCAACTATTTTAAGGATAGAATAAGCCTCAATCCTAAACCCTAGTAATTTTAAGGCTGTATTGATTTTCTTTTGTATCTTCGCTGTTAGTGGACCATTACTGCAGGGGATGAAAATGAATCTATCATCTCTATATAGGCCTATCTGTTTATGATCTACAATTCTACTATGTCTATCTAAAATATAAAAAATATACTAAATCAGCAACCTAGGCCAAATCATATGCTCCCATAGGGACATCAAAATCATCATTAAGGCTCTTAGTCCAGATGGAATTAAGAGCTAAAAGTGATTTCCTAGCTGTTAAGATGCTATTAGTCTCCTCATCCATGATCTCTATTTAGTTTTTTCTAAAGTTAATACAATTAACCAAGAGATTTCTGGAGATGGAGGAATAGAAATCTATGATATCTAATTTAATAAATGTAGCTCTTTCCTTATCACCCATATTGACAAACCATTTGATTGTATCCGATGAAATCTTTCCAGAGATTAGTACAGGTTGTAATTAGTAATTTATTGGTTATTTTTTTTATTATATTTTTTGAGATTAGACCTAGTTCAGTTTTAGTTAGATTTATTAATCTAGGCTGTATGTTATTAGAGAGAGAGAGAGATAAATGCTATATAAAAATACTTTACATATATTAGATTTGCTAATTTAGTTCACTAGTCTTTGTGTGTTTGCTAGATTTGTTATTTTCATGTATGTGCTTTGCTTTCAGTTACCCAATGATTTCAATATTGAGGCTGGGGTTCAAAAATATCCTGTTGTTTACTCAGAAAGTATGAACACTGTCCTTGTACAAGAAATGGAAAGATTTAACAAGTGAGTTTCAAAATTCTTTTTTCTTTTTTAAATCTTCACACCTAAAAAGTCAGGAGAAATTCACTTTGATGGGCATTTTTTTTTTTTTTTCATTTAGTCAGTGTCTTTGACAACAATAAGTCATCTTTGTTTTTGCTTCATGAAACTTTACACAGAAATCAAATTTCTCATCATATTCATCATTCATTTACAATTCATCTTTTTGGCAGTTTATTAATGTGAATCATCTTCTTTCTTTTTAATCACAAATCTTGGGATTGTTTTACATTCAATGTTAACAGCATATATCAGAAAGGAGGAGTTAGCCTCCAGCAAGATTTGAACCTGCATTTTTGGGAACCTGTGTGATATGGATGCTCCCTTACCAATTTGGCCACAGTGACTAAGCAGCTAGGGAAAGTTACATCCTTTCCTATCCAGTTTCCCCAGTGCCATATTGTTTGTTTACTATCTCATAATAATAGATATAATATGTTTGAAAGTTGATTGAATTCTTCCAGTGAAATAATTTCACTCTGAATTTCTGACTCTTTTTTGTGGCATTTTTTTTTTTCATCTCAATTTTCAAGTCATTTTATATTTTATGGTCATTAATGAATTTTTCTCCAAAAATTAATAATGAAAATGGCATCATTTAAAAAATCCATGTAGCTTAAAGTTTTTTTATATCTTCAACTCTGCTTCCATAATAAATGACAATATATTTCAGGGAAATCAAGTGTGTGTGGGGGGGGGTATATGTTTGTCATTCTCTATTCAACCTCCCCAGGGTTAAATCAGTAAAGTAACATATAAAGTTACCAATGTTGTCAATTCAAATTTCATCAGACGCAATGTTGTTTTCCAGTTCACGCTGCTTGCTCAATGGTCATGAACTGAAAAACAATGAAAAAAATATATCAATAAGGAAAGATAAATTAGTCAAAGCTTAACAATGAAAAGCCTTCATCTAAGCAATTCTATTATTGAATTGAAAAATTTTAAATTATTATTCATGTCCGAAGTTTCACATTTCTAGCATTTACTGTTCTAAAAATTAAATTTGTTTTGTAAATTTTTATCGGCTTCATTAAATGACACGATGCAGGTAGGTGAAAAAACTTTTGTTATGAATAATAATAAAAATGAATTATGTTTCTTTCAGGTTGATCTAAATACTTTGTTTAATTTGTAAGTCATTTTTAATAAAAGAAATACTGCAAAGGGTAATAATTGACATAATTCTTTTCCATAATTAAATGTTTTCATAAAATCTTGATAGTCTTTAGTATTATTTTGCTTGCTTGCATGTACAATTGTTAAACTTCTTTTTTTTTTAACCTATGATCAGAGTGTAGTATCTGTCTAATTGCCAATAGTTCTGAGTTATGATTTCTGACTGAGAAACATACATCATATTAAGTGGGGAAGAATTGGAGAGAGGAAAGAAAGGAAGAGGCAAAACAAGAGTGACATTTCTAGTTCTCTCTCTCTCATTTGGCAATTGCAGGCATACAAGGAATTAGTGTGTGTTATTTGAAGTAGATCCTCAAAATCATTAATCACATCTGCTAGGTTATAATAATGAATGTGGTTTGATGGCACACTAACCCTTCTATCATGGTTCCATGGTGCCAAACATTTTTAAACAGGTTTGAAGGCACACGATTATATCACATTGAAAAAACAGTTCTCACACAATCAACAAACTTAAACAACAATATCGGGCCTGGTCAGTACCCTAGATAGGTGACTGCTTGCGAATACCAGCTGATGTAATCTTGGATATGCAGCTGCTGTAACGAATAATGAATTTGAAATCAGAGAGCCATATTCCAATCTGCTTTATTATATTTACTTATGTACAAATAACCTTGTTTTAACTTGTAGAACTTGTCAGTAAATCGTTATTACCAAAAAAATTCTTACAGTCTAAAAAGATTTTCTGGCTTTAAATAACCTGCAAAAGTTTGATAAGCCATAAAAAATAAATGAATCACTAGATTTGAAGAATTACTTACATTCAGATTAATGTTATGTTTCTTGTTCTTATAATATATAATTGTTTCCTTCTTCTGAATGCAAATCATATAAATAATGATAACTTCTCATCCCAGAAATTTGAAAAAGTTTTCTATTGATTCTCATGTAGCCACTAACTTCTTATTCAAGTTTTTTTTTTATTTTAAATATTTTTCTCTTGTTATATGAAATTGATTAATTCTTGCCATATTTCACATGATTTTTTTTTTCCTTATTTTTGTCTTTCAAATGTTCAGACCCAAATCACCACTGCTTTTATTAAACAAAACGAAACATCTTAAATAAAATCAGAAAGAATTTTTTTCTCATCTTGTGCAAATTTCACTTCCATATAAAATGACTAATAATTTTTTTTTTTTTTTTTTTTTTTTTTTTTTGTACTTTGTATGCAGATTAATGCAGATCATCCGTTCAAGTCTGCAAAGTCTTCAGAAAGCCATCAAAGGCCTGGTTGTTATGTCTGCCACTCTGGAGGCAGTAGCTTCCAGCCTTCTCATTGGCAGGGTGCCAGCCATGTGGGCTAAACGCTCATACCCATCTCTTAAACCACTGGGCAGTTACATTCAAGATTTTCTTGACCGACTGAAGTTTTTACAGGTAATTTCCCAATTTAGTTTTCAATATTGAGCCAGAAATTTTCATTAATTTTGAAGTAGAAGATGAAAGCTTTCATTTGTGATAAATTAAAGTCTTTTAAGAATATCTGGTTTTTCATTCCACTTTAGTAAAATTGAAAAAAATATTGACATAAAAGCAAACAGGAATATTTGATGTCCTTTCCTTAGCAGATGAAATGCAGTTTTTTTTTGTTTGTTTTTTTTTTGTTTGTTTTTTGTTTTTGTTTTTGTTTTTTTGTTTGTTTGTTTGTTTTTTGGCTTTTGAAGAGATTTCTCCTCTTTATTTTATACATTATATCAGTATTTTTTTCTAGACAAAAAATATTTTGTAATTTTAGTTAATTTGGTAAAATTCAAGATAATTTAATTCCCTTTTAATACTGATAGAATCACATATTTATTTCTTTATGAACAAGAAATTGTTCAGTATATTTTAAAATAAATTGTAAGAAAGAAATTTAAATAAGAAATTGGGCCACTAATTGTATCTTGTAGGAAATTTAAAAAAAAAATCATTACATTGACATCAGTTCAGAATGGTTTTAAGGGGCAGCAGTGCAAGATGATTATCAGGCTTGTACTGGAAATATTTTATATATATATATATATATATATATATATATATATATATATATATATAGATAGATAGATAGACAGCAAGGAACAATTTTTATTAAAATCATCCAGGTCTGTCTGTTTAATTTTTTGGGGATTATAATTTTCCAATTTTTAATAAGTTATTACATATCCAAATCAAAATTATAAATAAACAGTCCAAAATTCATTTTTTCATTTGAGTATTTTCAATCATTTCTACTGTTATCGAGGGGATAAATGTTGTTCATATTTAAATATAAGAGTATCATAAAAGTGACATCACAATTTTGATCCAGGTGTACAACTTTTTCAGAAATTGGAAAAATTCAATAAAAATAATTAAAACAGATCTTATGAATAAACTTTAATAAGCTTAACAAAACTTGCTTTTATATATTTTGAAATTGTGTGTGTGTGTGTGTGTTTCCTCCAAAGAGCAAAAGGATAATGCCATGTCATTAACCAGATATAAAATACTGCCTTGTCATTGTGAGACTGGCTGTACCGCCTGACAACTGAAATGCATACCCCCCCACACACCACCACCAATGACAACAGCAATATTTACTCTGCAGAAGGTCAATGGCAGTAACAGCACTGTTTGCTAGAGGGAGATGATGGAGAAGAAGCAAGCAAGCAAGCAAGCAGCAGCATATGTCTGTCTGTCACTCTCGTGGGCAGATGCTATAACCATTATTGGTATTGAAAATGAAATCTGAAGGCCAAGGTTGTTGCATTCACTTTACACTAATGTCCTCAAAGCAGAAATAAATCCATCTGTTCTCCCTCTAGCTATGGGCTAAATAGCAGGACAAACTGTTCTCTGTAGCATTGGTAGGTCAAGTAATCTTTTGAAAAGAACTTTGAATTGAATTCTCTGCCAGTATATCATGTGTCAGCATAACAGAAGATGGCCAATCACTCGCCAGACCTTTACAATGCCGTCCTTATAAAGACACTGGAAAGGCCTGACATATCGAGACAAGCCTGTTTTGAAGAGTTCATGTTATCCTGGCCAGTATATCTCCATCAGTCAATCAGCACTATTTTTCTTTTAAACTAAAAGTCATCATCCATATTGTTTATTTACAAAAGGAGTCGACCTTAATCAGGATCATCAAATTGATATGAACGATCCTTTCCTTAGATGCATATTATGTGCTTTGACAGGCTACATACAGTTTTGAATTCAGAGTTTTCCTTCTCCTAGATTGGTTGCCACCCAAGGCTATAGAACCTAGTCTGTCCTACTATTTAACCATAGGTGAGGGGAAGAGTTGGATTCATAGTGTTATAAAATAAAATGACATATCTTGGCTGATTTACAGGCAAATACTCAAGAGCGAGAACCGGATGTGAACGGGACAAAGCCCCGTCACAAAATGACCATTAACTTTCTTTACAAATGTTTCCGACACACGTGTTCGGTCGAAAAATAAAATAATAATTAAAGTGCTCTATTTTTCGTCCAATAAAAATGCTTCCCTCCTAATTATACTCGCTTCGTTTCTCAAGCCTGTTAAGCCATAAAAAAACGCTATAAAAGAGATCACACGGAAGTTCAACACGCAGTCAACAGGTGGCCACAAAGGAGACCGGTCACGTTGAGCAGCTGTCAGCAGGAGAGCGTCAACCACCGTCAACATGTGTGAACTACTATGAGAGATCGACCAGATCCGAAAGCCGGCTTATGAACTTTACCACACCAAGGTAGCTGTCTCAAACCCACACGTTCCTGTTGAAATAAACCACGTAAATCTATTTCTACTGTTGTCGTATTTCCTTCTTGCAACCATACGCTTGTCTATAACAATAGCTTTACCAAGACTATTAGTATATAAATGAATGTAATGAACTCAAGTGGAATTTGAACTCAGCTCCCCAATTCTTCAACCTATTATTTCGCCGTGCCCTCTGCCATCCATTACTTTGCCATCCATTACTCTGCCATGCCTATTTATTTACAAAAACTATTAAATTTAAAGCTAAATTTTGAAAAGCTTCACTATGAAAATTACTTTCATTTTGGTTGTTTATATCAGTGCCATTGTAGCTTTTCTACCCCAAAACACAATTAGCTTAAGATTTGATTATGAACTAACAAGACATTTTCCTTTTCTATGGAAAGTGTTTTTATTTTGACCAGTTGAATATTATTATATTTTTAACATTGACTACTCTAGGCAAAGATAAAGTCAAGTTTTAATTGCTCATTTTTATATTAAGTACTGCCACCTTCCACAGATTTTCTCTTTGAAGTTAAAAACATTGTTCTCTTTTAGCTTTTCATACTCTAATCCCAAGCCTAAATGTCTGCATGCACACTGTTTGCTGCCCATCCCCACCCCCCAAAAAAGACTCTTTGTCTTTATTTAATTGAACTTGTGTTTCTCTTACAAATGTTAGTGGCAAAGTCAGTAAAAACAGAAATAAATGAAAAACATTTCAGTTTCATTGATTTTTATTAAAAAGCATGAGAAACATTTAATTTTAATAAAATGGAAATTCAAAATGTGCAAATCAGTTTTCCAATATTCTTTTTTTTTTCTTTCTAAAAAAAAAAAAAGAAAAGAAAAATAATTAGTTCCTCATTAAACAAGATATACTGATAACCATTTTAAGGATAAAACATTTTCCTGTGAATCTAAGTGTCCCTGTTTGAAGCCTTTTTATAACTAATAGACATTTTGCAATATTTTATATAATAAATAGTCATTGTTAATACTTCATTATCTCCTTAACCATTTCACTGTGATGGGAAGCTATAATTTCAATCTCCAGTCTATTTAGTAGTCTGGACTTTCCCCACTGCTTGAAAATTTGACAGAAATTCTTTATTTTGTCACAAAACTCAATTATTTATTTAATTATTTGTCATCTTTCACATTCAGATTGTTGCCATGTAATCTTGTAGAGACAAATCATATCAGTCACTTCATACTGAGCAGAATCTTAAGTCCATGAAAATATTTACTGGTTTTTCTTCCAGACTGCTTTATGTCATATCATACATGGATCAAGCATTACAGGCGCTAATGGGCTGGGGGGAGGTAGAATTACTAATTTTGTTCAGAAAATTTGATTATCTCAACATTTTATGAGGATTCAAAGATTTTAATTTTTTGTTCAACTGTCAATGTTTCTTTGGCTGGAAAATACATCGACTGAAAATTGGAAAATGAAGAAAGGAAAGCGTTAAATCTGAGAACACAAATATATTTTCACTTTATTTACAGTATATAGTTTTGTTGTCACTTTTAGTGAGTTTTATTCCTTTAGAACAGCTTCTTTTACTGATCTCAGAAATAATTTCTCATTTAAGATCTTTTGTCCCACCATCCATAAGGAATTTCCATCTATTTGCACAAATAGGTCAGTTCTTTACTTCTGCTTCTCTTACCTTCAATATGTCAAACTCTCCAAACCTACTTTTCTTATTCTGTTTCCCCAAATATTTCAGCTATCTCTTCCTAATTTTTGGCAAGTTTCTTTGTTCTCCATAGTACTTTATTTCATATTTATTTTCTCTCGATGGTATACTCAACATTCATTGATAAAACAACCTCATCTGTTGTGTCAAGTCCTAGTTTCATTTGTAAGGAAATAGTCTGGCATTCACTGTCATATAGGAGGGTAGACATAGCAGCATTCTTTTCAGTGTTTCTAATCTCATTTTTTTTTACCCCTTTGTATTCAACTTAGTTTCTGAAAATTGTCTCACTATTTCTATTTCTATGATTATCCCTCTGCTCAGATAGGGTTGAATTTCTTTACTTTTCTGTGATGTTTTGGACTTTCCGTTTTGTTCTCTTCTTACAACTAATGGTCAATTTTTTTCTTCCTGCTTTCCCCTAACTGATCAGGGTTTCAGTTATTCTCCTGAATGTGCCATGAACACTGCCATCTCAGGTATTAAGAATATGTCTACTTTTCACCTACTTTTACATTGATTAAGGCCAGAAAAGAAAACACTTGTTCACATAGGGGAAAAAAAAAATAGAATAAAACTAAGAAAATGAGCATGTCAGTTTTGTTAAAAAAAAAAAAGAAAACGATATTAAAGAGGGTGGCTTACAATCACCACAGAGAACCATTTCTGCCTCCTATCAGCTTGGCTAATGCTAAACTCTAGGAGAGTAAAAGTTTGCACCTCCTTTTAGACTCGTGTTTTCCATTGACATAAAATCAAAATCATTATATTGAATCAAATGCTAGGAAAGTTTGTTTGCTGTGTTGTACCAGACAACAATTCTTTTCATCAGAATCCTTCTTACACATTTATAAATCTAACATTCGTCTGTGCATTGAATACTATTACCATATCTGGTCTGATGCTCCAACTATATACCTGAGGAATTCTAGAAAAAAGTTCAAAGGAGGGTC